TAATAGCAACAACCACAGCGGTAACGACAGCAAACAGCTACAACACGGAGAAGGACGTAATATAAACACACGAGAACTTACTGGGTCCCCGCAGTTGCAAAAGGCTTTTGGGCATGAAAATAAATTTGTGTGTATCGTGGGTGTTGCGCACGTCGTTGCGCCTAAGGGAGGGGAAGCTGGCTCGCCTGGCACACCGGAAGAACAGGCGAGCACAAGAACATCAGCAACGCCAGGGGGGCGGGCGAGCTCGCAGTACGCACTCCATGACTCAACAAGGAAACCACCGCATTTTCCAGCACCAGCGGACTATCACACTTGCGAACGATCAGCTGCATCAAGGACCGCTGCACCACCGCCAACAACAACAACATAAGAATCGTCGACAAACAACCAACACAACGCCATCAACACATTCACTACCATCAACATCAACAAAGCCACATTCACTACCATCAACATCACCACATTCACTAACATCAACATCAACAAAGGAGCATATCACCGCTCCTCTCCTGCCCCCACTCAGTCCGTCTCCCTCCTCAATACTCACCAGCAGCACCGAGGAGATGACCCGTTGCCCCCTTAGTTGACGAAACCAACAACGACTGCCTGGGCCCACCGTTTCGCGGGCGACAGCAGGGACAAGCAACAAGGTCATTGGGGGAGGGGGGCGTACTCTTATGTTTTGCATGCCTTAGCGGTTAGACCGTTGACCACGCGTCCTCGAGAGGACGGAGCATTGTTCCCACAGGACCGATCACCGATGGCCAATCGTTCCTTCCTACTTTGCCAAAGGTGGCTCAAAAATGTCTTCCCTAGTCTGTCTATCCTAACGATATCCCTTCCCGCCTTTTCAAACCACTTCCTACTCCCCAGCACAGCTACCGTCCTCTCCTCTCTATTCCATGCCTCAAACATCTCCCTGTACGTCCCTTGTATTTTTCCCAGCTCAGTCATGTACACTTCCCTCTCCTCTTCGTACCACGGACATTCCGCGACTACATGAACACGGTCTTCGCATTCGAAGCCGCAATCACATTTGAACTTGTCGTCTTCGTCGTCTACCGTCCTATGTCTTCGTCGACGTTCTCGAAGGCCTATGTCCCCGGTCCTGAATTTGACCTTAAGCTTTGTCCCTGCATCCATTGGTCCATGTAGGTAATCCTTGAACCCTATTCCTTCTTACAACATTCCGTACACTTCTAGACCCTCCTTATCCTTGGTTTCTTTCCTTAGATTATGTTCTTCTCTCTCTGCACAAGCAACAGATATCTTCTCCTTGAACCCCTGTAGACCCTCCGTTTCCAGCGTTTCATCTTCGTCGATGTCTAACCCCTTCCATACGTCCTCTACAACCTTGACCCATTCCGTGGGTTGTCTACCCCTCTTTTTGTTTGCCCACTTCGCCTCCCATACTATTCTCGGCAACCTCTCCTCTCCCATCCCGCACATGCGATACTGCCTTGTCAGCTTCATTGCGTCTCTTCCCGACCGTAGGGATTGGATCCCCAATTCTGCCCTTACGGCTGCATTACTTGTGCGCTTGGAGCATCCTAGGATGATTTTCGCTGCTTTCATGTGCGCCGCCTCGAGTTCTTTCACTACCTTCTTATTTCCTTGCCATACTTCTCCGGCGTACTCTATTGGGGGAGGGGGGGGAGGGGGGATTGCTGCTGTGAGGTCTGCGCTTGGACCGATTGCATGGTCTGCTCGCACCTCACTATCAGTGGTTGTGGGGGCAAACGACTCGCTCGGTTTTCGGTTTTCCGAACCCGAAATCTCATCTCTCGCCCCGACATTTAACAGACATGATACATGCTCCCGAAACACTCTTTTCCCTCCCTGTTTACTTCTGCCTGAAGACTCGTTTTTCGTTTTTCCGAAACCGAAATCTCATCTCTCGCCCCGACATTAAACAGATATGATACATCTTCCCCGCAACACTATTTTTTCCCTCCGCACTAGGAAGAAGTATATATTTACCTCTTCCCGAAGACTCGTTCGATCGCACGCCCTTCAGCGGCGTCTCCCAGCGGCGTGGAAGTCGCGTGGGCGTTAACGTACCCGACAGATTCCGGCGAGAGCCCCGATTCCTCTACAGCACAACACGGCGTATTTTGCACAAAAATGAAGCATGGCGCAGTACTAAATTAGCGACAATACAGCCAAGAAGACCAAGAGAAAGCACACATGAACAGGAGCGACTACGGGGGGGCGGCGGGACGGGAGGGTACTGGGAAAATATCCAGGGGGGGGACCATGAATTACGCACCCTTTTTTTCGAAATAGAGCACCGTTCGTTTGTGTTCTGGGCAGAATCGAACTCTCGACTTTGCAAACTCGAAATGCCGGTTTGTTGTCTCACCCAAACACTAACTACTTCGTTGCCTGAACAGAAGGGGGTTCCTTTGGGCTCTGTTCGCCATGCCTCTCGATGGAGCTGATTGACCCAAACTACTACTACGCAAACAAACATTGACCCGAACTACTATTATGCAAACAAACATGCCGGCGTGTTATCGTCTCTGCTGTGTGACACACTTGATAGCGACAAAACAACGTGTAAGAAGCAACCTCTTCACCTACGGCGGAAAGCATTGCCCGCCTCGGGCCATCCCCATCTTCTGTCGGCGCGGCAATGTGGTGAGCGTCACCGGCCAAACCATAACCTCGAACCTTCGCAGCACGCGGGGCGGGGGGGTGAGGGCACTCAATACTCAATGCGATGTGTAATAGCGAAAGCGGGGGGCCTTCTGAAAATGCATTTGGGAGAGAGAGGTCGAATCCGCCACCCACGTTAGGGGTAGGGGGGGGTGGGGGGGGTGTACTCATAGTCGTGCATTCCGTAGTCGTTAGACCGTTGACCTCGCATCCCTACAAAGCCGGGACGGAGCACGCCGGGTTCTCACCGGACCAGGCTCTCACATCACCAAGCGCGAAGCGCCGTGAGGTATTTGGCGAGTCGCATGAAGGGTGAGCTGCATCCTGCTAAGGGTGTTCGGCATCTTGTGCTTACTTCCTTGCGTACGGATGACAGCTACGTATGACTTAATTTATTTTCTGGTGCTTTCACTTCCAGAGACAGTTGTAAGCACTGTGAACTGCCTCGAGGATGCTTGACCATTTTAACACAACGTGGTGCGATCATCCCCCTTGCGCGGAGTGAGGGTTCTCGACCCCGCACAACATGATCTACTCGACCACCATTATGGTTACCGCCAAAAAAAAAACGAGGAAAAAAAAAAAAACGGTAACCTGGTTGCCGAGTTCACGAAGTGAATTGGCTTGTTTTACAACGTCGTTGCCAAGCGACGAAAACCCAAACCCCGATGGCAAACACCGAGGGGGGGGGGGGCGAACCATTTGTGAACGGACGTTCTTGAAGGGGATCATTGGTAAATATCAAGCTCACAAACCACTCTGAACTGGAAATCCCCTGTACTATTACTTGAACGCAACGCTTTCAAGCGGCCCTATCCAGGAACGTGAATTATTGCAGCAGTGATAACAGAAAGCACGACGTATGTTGACACAGAATCGTATATTTTTCGTGCTACTTCACGTTCAACCTATATGACTGCGTAGGCGGCGGTGTTGTAAAGTTGTCGCATACTCACCACCCTCAACCTGCGCCACGAAGACCACAAAACATGGCCAACCTTTAAGCCCCAAACGCTGTCTTTGCCAGAAATCGCCTGGCAGTGCAGAGACAGACCAACACCACAGAAAATGCGAGCACTTGGCCGGCCGTATCTACCCATGCGGGCGCGCGGGCATGCAGCTGCCTGCAACAGCTGGCGTCACATCGCTTTCTCACACAGCAGCACCGTGTTGAACGCACGCCCACGCGCACGTAAGCGCCCGCCCGTAGCGCCACCAAACCTCCCAGCCGCCCACGTACCTCAGCGATAATGTTGGCTCCCCTATCTCGCGCGTGCTCCATCTCTTCCAAGACGAGGACGGCTGCGCCCTCTGCTCGCCCCCCCACAGGAGGAAACCGAACAAAAACAACAACAAGAAACAAAGGGGGAAAACAAACCCATAAACCAGTATGTCAACATCCAAGCGACCGCCGTAGTGTGTTATCATCTGCGAGGGAGCAACGGAGCGGCCTTCGCCCAGGGAAGCAGGGGGTACACGAAGGTCAAGAGGACAGCAGCAGCACACCGGACTCACGGAACGATTGACACCATGTACACAACCACGCGAAAGCACTCTCAAGTGCACAACCTAAGGACAAGATGGATTTCAGAATCGAACAAAAGCATGAGAAACCAACGCCCTGTGTTTCGTCTAGATGGAGGCATGCATGCAGAGAAGAGGGGCGGGGTGGCACGGCGATAGAGTTGTTTGAGTTTCAGCACCTTGCCTGCTAACACGAAGCCATCCCTATCCTTGTCGAACGGCCGTGACGCTCTCTCTGGGTCTTCGTTGAACCTGATAATCATATCACCAGCCATCGTTCATCATCACCTCATTAAACAGCATCCATCAATCTGGCAGGTTGCTTCAATCCTCCCCCCCAGTCGCTTCGCGCTTGGTGATGTGAGAGCCTGGTCCGGTGAGAACCCGGCGTGCTCCGTCCCGGCTTTGTAGGGATGCGAGGTCAATGGTCTAACGACTACGGCATGCACGACTATGAGTATGAATGAGTACACCCCCCAGTCTCGTCCGCGGTGACCCGAATCAAGCATAAAAAAAGGTACAGAACAGACAAGAGAACCATCGATCGATCAGCACACAGTGCTTTGAGTCGGTTGACTAGGGCGAGAGTAAACACCTTGTGAAACAGGTGTGCCGCTGCCGCGGAGTCAATCTACTGCTTTCGGCGGCGATGAGACACAAAGCACAACCAACAATGCAAGAGGGACCCGCCTACCGATTTTTACTCTTACCGACTGCCCCACGTGGGACAGTTCTTGATAGTATGCCGTGTTTTGGTTATTCCACCCTCTCAACAGACACAATCGAACAGACAACGCCACCCCCCTTTACAGTGCCCGTGCCCACAAAAGGCACTTCTACTCAGACCTCAGCCACCGCCGCGGGGCAGTACTACACTGGCTACAAATTCGTCGATCCTGCTAAATACGACAGCTATCCTTGAGGAGCACCCCTGGGTCCTGCCAGCGCTGTTCGACAGACGAAGACAATCCCCGAAAACTACACATGCACGTACGGACGCACCTTGTGGACAGGGCGTTCATCCTGGCGAAGCCGGCCAGGGCCGGCTCGTGAATGGAGCCTTCGCTACCTCCGCACACCATCACGTCCGCATCGCCGTGCTTGATGAAGCGAAACGCGTCCCCGATCGCGTGGGCGCTGAGCCAAGACGGAGCAAGCAAACGAGGGGGACAAAGGTGTGGCAGAGCCGATCGAGGCGGGGGAGCAAAACGGAGACTGTTGAGCAAGACTTGAGAGCCAAATGCAGGGCAAATCGAAGCAGGGGGAGGAGGAAGAAATTAGGGCACACAATCAACCTTTGAAGGGAAGAAAACGGGAACGTGTGTAATCGGCTGCTGCAGTGTAGGGGGTCGGGGTGGGACCTATTGGGCAAGAAAACAGTGGTTGGGATACATGGTGAAGATACAGAGTTGCATGTTCTTTCTCCCTTCTCCTTCCTCTCTCTCTCTCTCTCCCTCTATCCATAGATCGACCCCTCTCCAGGTATGCCGTGTCTATGGCTTGGATCAACAACCCCCCTGTCCTCACCCTGTTGCACAGGCGGTGGCGACGGCGTGGTTGGGTCCCTTCAAGCCGTGCTCGATGGCCACGTGCCCCGCCGCCAAGTTGATCAAGATCCTGGGTGTTTTCGGGGGGAGGGGGAGGAAGGAAAAAAACATGAGTGCGTATCCGCAGCACAGCACGCGTCAGCCAACGGAAAATATGACCACGAGAGATGCCGAAGGGGAGAAAAAGAAGTGACCCCCGACGATAAGGACGAAACCATAGCTCAACCTAATTAGCCGAATCACAACACCAGAAAGATTCGAATTTGTGCCACGGTAGCCACGGACAGCATCTCCACTAGTTCGATCATCACCCCACCACTCGAGACTCCCTGCAGTCGAGACCGTGGTATTATAGTGCTGGATCGACCCGTCAAGGACATGCCAAAAGCGTGCGGGAGAGAGGGGGGCATTTGGCGCTCACCGAGGAATGAAGTGAGGGGTCAGCCTGCGATAGCCTCGGCCCTCCAGGGTGCGGTAGCAGTCCGCCACATCCTCCAGAGAGCCTGTTCCCGGAGAAGACAGCAGCAGCAGCAGCAGCAGCAGCACCAACAACGACGACATCAACAACGCAGCTCGGTAGCAGTAGAATCAATGCAGGAGGGCGAAATAGGATGTGGAGGATGTGGAGGTCTTGCGAAGCAGCGGCAGGTAAGGTGAATGTCCTGACAAAATAAACACCTGAGCTTCAGGGAGAAACTGGGGGCGGCAGAAACATGGAGGTCGACGCGTTGGATGTCAAACGAGAAACGACATCCCCACGAGGTCGGGGGTGGCGGCATCACACAACTCGCGCGCGAAGCACTACATATGTGCATGCAACAACACACACGCGGCATTCTGCATTGATTCTCGTGCCAACCTTACAGAGTCTGTCGTAGTACACGACAATGACTGTGATGATCATGGTAGATGACGACGACGCATCGAGCGGGTGGTCAAAGCAAAGACCCCGTCGCTCTTCCTCTGTTTCCCTCGTCTCTCTCCCACCCCCACTCTCTGCGTGTCTCTCTCTCCCTCCCTCTCTCTCTCACACACACAACATTCTCTCTCGCACTCTCTCCTCGTCCTTACCTATTCCTGAGCCGATCGCTACGCCTGCCCTGTCTCTCTCCCTGTCCGTCTCAGCTCTCCAGCCCGACATATCAAGCGCTTCCTTCGCCGCATGCATCGCTGATTCGAGCGAACGGACGCCACGACAAGACAAGACGCGTCTTACATTCAGATGGAAGCTACATAGCGAGACATCGAGGCAGCGGCCAGCCGATCTATGCCAGGCCTTTCGAGCTTGCGTTTACCTTCGGTTTCACAGAGTGGTCCCCTCTCTCGGCGGAGGCGGTACCTATCAGGCACGCGGTGCTGACTGCGAAAGTGGTAGATCAGGTATGATAGTTCCACGGTGTTGTGGGTTCTCATTGTCAGTGTGTTTCGCCGCTAGTTGAATCGTGCTGGTGCTGGTGCTGCTGGTGCTGCGGCTAGATGTTGTTACCGTGATATGTCAGTCTCGCACTAACAGGCCCACCAGACCACCTCCCTCGTTCTGCACGGGTCCAACTGCCACAGAAACCAGGCAAGTTGTTGACGCCTGAACACACGATAGAGGTGCCACCTCAAGCAAATAGCCTCCATAGGGCAATACCTTACGACACGTTCCAAGCGCAAGACTGATAACCCAAGCGCCACACCCGTGGCAAAGCGGACTTAATCTACATCGTACAGAGACGCCATGTATCAGGATCCTTACCGAATTGAATGAACTCCGGCGTGCCGCGGAGGCTGGTGGCGGTGGCGGCGGAATCCGGGCCTGGAAACTGCCCCGCTCTCTCGAGTCCGCGATCGACCTCGCCAGCCAGGGATGTCGGGAACGTCGTCATCCTGTCGGATAGCTGGTAGAATTTTCACGTTTGAGTTTTTTGTATGTTAAAGCAGAACAGATGTTGGCGGGGAAAGGGAGCGGGGAGGACAGGGGAGGGAGAAGGAGACGGGAACGCACTCTTGGATGGTGAGTTTTCACCTGGCGTTTTCAGGACGCATTGTGGTATACAGCAGCAGCAGGCAATCACCAAGGGATCTCTGTCATCCTGAAATTTCCAGCATTGACATTCATGGATGACGTGGCTGGCGCAAGTCCCCTGCAATTGGATCACATGTTGTTTACCAACATGGATTGGTTGTCGCCTGTGTCCATTGTACGGCCGTTCTCCCTCTTTCATCAGGGGCAGTTGAAAGAAAAACATTGCTGATTGTGAGCCCGCCCCAAGCTGACCGTGCGCAACTTCTGCTGTAGGTTCATTCGCCTTTTACTCATCAACTCCGGCACCGAACGCACTGCCCACAGCAGCACTGCTGTGTGGGCGTGCTCACTTGGTTGGTGCTGCTACAGCAGTAGCACATCAATGCAGTACATACACGGCGGTACACGTGCAAGCCTCCATCTGGTGTTGGCAACAAGATGAACTATGCTATGATTTGCCGTGTGGCCCCATAGATTCAAAAATACTCTGGAATTCCACAGCGGGCCCACCAAACAGCGCACGGGAAAGAGGCGCAGCGAAGAGGCACAGCGAAGAGGCACAACGAAGAGGCAACCTCTACTGTCCTTCCCCGCCCCCAGCCCCCAGCCACACCTTCCTGCTCCTGTGCCCGTCGGAGTCTTGCGACGAAGGCTTCAACCGCCGAATGCCGCACTTGCCCTCGAGAAGCCTCTCCCAACTCGCCTGCATCCCGTTCGCCAGCGGGGTCACAGCTCCCAGCCCCGTAACTACGACTCTCCTCTGGGAGATAATTGCGGGCGGCGGCAGCAGCCGTGCCATGTTTTGGCTGGCTGTGTGCTCCTGTGGTGGGTGAAAGAGGACAGAGGACACTCCGAGCGATCGGGAGGGACGGAGGAAGCGAGAGATCTCCGAGATCTCCGTTTTTTTTCGGGGCCACGCCAAATCGAAACCATCGTACATACATCCCGTGAGGGTTCCCAGTTCCCAGTTCGCGACCCCGACAAAGACACCTGCTGGCCGCCTCTGCTGGCCTGCTCAGCTCGCATCATAAGCCTCGCAGCACGGGAGTCGGGGGCTGTGCCGCCACCACCACTGATCCACCATGTCGAACCGCAACGTACAGGCGAAGAATCGCGCTCCGGCGTCGATCCAGATCACCGCGGAGCAGATCCTGCGAGAGGCAAAGGACCGGCAGCTGGATGTCGAGGTCAAGGCTCCGCGGCAGCAGATCACCGATGAGGAAGAGCTGCGCGTCTTCCGGATGCGGAAGCGGAAGGAGGTGCGTCAGAGACTTTTGGTGTCAGTTCTAGACACCAGCAGGACGAACGGTCGGCGGCGTCGGGGGCCCGTTACGTTGCGTGATATGTTGGGGTGCCATTGTGTGGGATGGGCAGAGAGAGCGGAACGAGCAGCTGCCGCTGCGCTCCCCAACTGCTTGGGTGTGTGTCTGCAGGCACCAGCAGGAGGGAAACTTCGTCGTCAGCGACCCTGGGTGACTGAGCTATGTGTCTTGGCTGCACTCGCGGTGGCGTGTGCATTATTATTGTTGGAGCGCGTTGCCCCCCTCTTCCCTTGACCTGTTTTTCCGCCCAACAGCAGTTCATATGATGGGAGGGGGTGGTATCTTCCGTACATGGGTATGCGGCTGCTGTTGGCGCCGGAGCAGTGAAACACGACGAGGACCGGATCCGAGGGGGATCTGCGTGTTGACCCCGACACCGAGAAGTCGTCGTTGCAAACTACTTGACACCCACCATAGCTGTAAATGCGTGCCATTATTGTTGAGAGTCTGCCGTCTGCTGATGGCTAGTCTTGCGGAATTGAGACATTTGCAGATACAGGTCACACTTGGCGACAGAGTGTAAGTTTTAAGATCGACATCGCTAACCGGCTGGCCAATGAGAAGAGAAGACCTCGTCCTTGGTGGGCCAAGAACAGAAGGGCGTTTTGTTTAACCTTGGTGTGTGTTGGGAACAGCGTATGTTGAAGATCTGCTAGATGGACATGGATGTGTGAGCAACAGCATCGTTCATGAAGTACATTTTCATAGCCATGGAACAGAGCATGTGTGCGCCAATTGCTCTCGCCGCAGATATCACGACCCCCCCCCGCCGTCTTCGTGTGTCATTTCACTCTCCTTGCCCCTTCAGTTCGAAGATGCCATTCGAAAGCAGCGAGAGCACATCGGCAACTGGTTGAAGTACTCGACGTGGGAGGAGTCGCAGATGGAGTTCGAGCGTGCGCGGAGCGTCTACGAGCGCTCCCTGGAGGTTGACTACCGCAATCAGGTAAGTCGTGTGTGTGTGTGTTTTGTTATTGGCATCGACCGCGCTAACCAGCTGACCGATGAGTGAGTGTGTGTGTGTGTGTGTTTCTTTCAATAGCATCGACTGCGCTAACCGGCTGAGCAACAAAAAGGCGTCAGCGGGATAACAACCGCGAAGCCGCTTTCTCATGGGGGCTCTACCGACTTCCGACAGGGGCAGTTGGACGACAGCGTCCTGCTTCTGATGTGGTACAACAAAGCAGCCTTGTGGCACTTTCCGGTCACCGCGTTCCCCTGGGAGGTAGAGACGACGGTTTTTCAAATACGCTTGTTTGGGAAATGGGGGTGTATCACGGGTGTGTTGTAAGTACGAGGGGCGAAAGATGGTCTCAAAAATTACCGTTGAGGGCACGAGCAACTGGTTTTATGCCTCCCCCCCCCCACCCCCCCCCCCCCCGTTTTTTTTTTCCCCCGGCGAGGGGAAAAAGAACTGGGTGGCCCCCCCCCGGTTTGGAAAGAGGGGGAAATGCCCCCAACCCCCCCCCCACAGGTGGTTTTTTTGGGGGCCCCCCGGTGCCGGGGGGG